TTGTCTGAATTTGTATTAATCTTTGCCTTTATTTAAAAAAATTAAAAAAATAAAAAATTCTATAAATATATAATATTTATATTTATATGTTCCATATGAAAGTTTTCAAAAATTTTCATTTATTTAATAACATTCTAAAATTTCTTATAAAAAATAAAATGGACATGTCATATTTATACCCTCTTCTCCACATTATTGAAAAATTAATGAAAAGAACAGATAATCAATAAATTTGAAATTATTATACTTATATTATACTTAGAATAGAAACTTAATTTTGCATTCAATGCAATGCATATTCGTTTTATATCCAGTGAATTCTTCGTTTCTTTCATAGCAAAAGATATCTAGATTACGGGACAAATAACTCACGCGAAATCTTTCCACGGTTTAATTAAAGTCATATCTTCTGCAAAAACATCAAGACTTTTTCCATGCAAAAGCCAAATTTTTGAAAGAAAAGAATAAAAATAAAGAGACTATCTTTAATTCTTTCAATACATATTAAATGTGAATCAAAAATTATTTCATTTATTATTATTTTTTATTATTTTTTTCGTGACAATCTTTTGTTTAACTTAATCGTAAATTATTTAATCTTAAAAAATTAAAAAGAAAATATTTAAGGATATAATTATGATAAATTATATTTTTTCTCAAAGAAATTTTATTTCAATTCTACTTAAAATAAAATCTTATATTTTAATCTAAATTTTTAAATTTTTAAATTTTAATCTAACTCTCTAAATCTTTAAATCTTATTTTAAAAATTTTATAAATTTATATAATAATTTTTAATTTGTATAATAATTGTTAAATAATTTTTTTAAATTTGTATAATAGCCTATTTAACTCTAATATATTTTTTATAATTCTTTCTAACAAAATGAATTATATTTACATATATTCTATATTTACATTTTTAATAATATTATACATCATTGTAATTGAATTAATATTTGAATTAATATTTGATATTTGAATTAATTTATATTGAAAACTCTTCTATATATAAAACATATGTTCATACGTTTTTTATTTATTTTATAAATTCAAATATCTAAATATATATTTATAAATCATTCTAATAATCTGATATCAGATTATTAATGGATTATTAAGATTATTAATATGGATTATTAAGATTTTAAACTACATATAGTAATAACATAATGAAGATTTTTGCGAACTATTTATTTTAATTTACAATATTTTTCAATAATCATTCGTTTTTATTAGAATCCTGTTATGCAATTTATATTATTAATATTGCTATAAAAACTCGCATACACTTTGTCCAATAGAAATTTACATTTATTTTTCAATGTTTATAAGATTAAAAAAGATAAAACATTTTAAAATAATTTAAAATATTAATATAATTTATTATTTTTTATAATTTTTAATTTTCAGAATATTGTATTTCTGATTATGATATTAAACATTTGCTAAACATTTTTTATAATTTTTCGACAAGTACTTTCTTAGGAAATTCTCAGAATCTATTAACGGATTCAAAATTATATAATCCTACTTAAAAAGTTCATCTTCAAATCTTTTCTACTATTTTTCTTCCTACGTGTATTTTATATCTTTTTAAGCCAAATTTTTAACTTTCTTTAAAATACTTTTTTGATAACTTTTTATGATATATTCCATTATTTTCGATTAAAGGAAACACATATCATCCACATTGGATATGAAAAATTAAAAACATTAAGATTTAAATTATCAATTCTTAGAATTTTTTCAAAAAAATTATAAAATTTTTAATTTCTATATTTTCTACACTCTAGTTAACATAACATATTTCTAGAGTGAAAGAAAAGATTAATAATTTTCTCTTCTCTTTATTTTGATTTACTTACTATGATTTATTTTGATGATACTTTCTATGATTTATTTAGAGATTTTCTATATCGAATAATCAAATAGATATCCTATACATCATCTTCTCTATTCGAATAAAAATTTTATAATAGCATTAACGTGAATCTCTTTGAATTCACTTAATCATGTATATCACTTAATCGAGAAAGACAATGAAAACTGCAGACTGACGCGATACCGCATTCCATTCCCTTTTATCGTCGCAATATTGCATATCACAGATTTACGTTTCGCTCCATAACATATTCTTTTAATATTGTTTACGATTCGTCGCAGCGTGATCTAGTTTTCAATTGAAGATAATAACAGGGAGAAATTTTTACTGCGCTTCATATTTTTCAGAGAAGCAGGAATAAAAAGAAAGATGGAGAAAAAAATTTGAAAGAAAAAAATGGAAATAAAAAAAATAATCAACGAACAATTTTTATTCAGAAATAATGTTATAGTCTATAATTTGAAAGAGAGAGAGAGAGAGAGAGAGAAAAAGAGAGAGAGAGAGAGAGAGAGAGAGAGAGAGAGAGAGAGAGACAAAGAAAGAGAGAACAATGAATATATAAATGATAAATGGATTAATAAGCAAATTTTGTCAACAAGAATAGTAAAATTTTGAACATCTTGTGATTAAAAATATTACTCTATTAATATTTTTTTATCATAATCATTACAAAAATTATTTATAAAATATTTCGAAAACGAAAAATGAAATTTTGATTATTAAAAAAATTTCGTTCACATGATATTTCGATGAAAAAGATATATAAAATGATTATTCCATGGTATACTGCAAGATGTTGATATAATTGAGGATATAAGGATATTTTTCGACTCTAGAGATTAAAATAAAAATATTGGTTAAATTTTAACTTTATTATTATTTTTTATTAAGTTATTTATTAAGTTATAAACACTTTAAATTAATTTAAATTTACAGAACATATCTGTCTGCCTTTAATGAACATTTCAAAAATGTCTTATGACTTATACATATTTGTATAATTTATTATACTTTATATATTCTCAATCATTTGTAAATATTTTATTAATATTCATAAATGTTTTTAAAAGTAAATTTAAATTCAAAAGTTTTATAAACCGTTGTACATGTTTAAGATAAGAATATACATATATTAATATATTCTTATATTTCATTAATTTTCATTATTTCATAATTATTATTTTTAAATAATGTTTTATTTAAGTTAAAATATAAACTCAATAAAAATGAATCTTTATGCGTTTGTAAAGAGGAATAATGCCTCGGTTACTGCCATAAATCGCTCATACCCACGGATTTATCAATATATAACGCAACAGACAACTATCTTTCACAGCATCCAAACTTTTCACGAACAGCTTATTATCGAACTTTCCTAGGTAGCTTATTACCTATATTAAATATCGTAAAATTCTCAACTTCCGCGGAATGTTCGCGTCAGCGTTAGATTAGCATCTTGGATGAAACGTGCACACTTTCTGTTTCGTAATAAGACATTTTAATCATGGCGTGATAAAAATTTAATATGTTACGTATTTTTTTTTAACAAAAAGAAATTTTTTTAAAAATTTTCTCACGAATTTTCTTTACTTTACAATTGTTTCATTATTTACTTTATTTAATGGAAATATTTATATTATTATATGAAAAATAATGTATCATATATCCAATATTTCTATATTTAATAGTAGAGTATAATATAACAGAATTATAAATTCTGTCAATATTTCATACTTTGTTTCACGATTCCAGAAGATTTGAAAATGTTTTTGAAAATATTTTTGGCAAAATTAATATAATTATTAAATTGTTATAGTTATATAAATCGTAATTTTTATAAATACAGTTAGAAAAATGGAATTTAAATGAAGATTTATTAATATTATTTATTATATAATTATTTTTTAAATATTATAATATGTACTAAACTTTGAAATATTTTGTGTCTTTTTATGTATTAATTACTTATAATTTAATAAATAAATCTTCATTTTTGTAAACCAATTTTGATTTGTCTTGTTTTCTCTATCTTATCTCTAAAATTAACTCTTCAAAAACTTTGAATAAAATTTTTGAAATCTGAAAACAAGTTTTGCAAATATATAATAATTGCTTATTGCTTAATAATAAATTTTTTATTTATTTTTTATTTCTAGTTATTATAAAGATATAAGTGTATATTTATATAAGTGTATATTATATAAGTGTATTATATTATAAAATATAAGTGAATGAATTGTAATTCAGTTATCAGGAATTCAACAAAGTTCAGATAGTAATCAAAATAAATACTATATATTTATAATATATTATTTATAACACTATATATAAATTTCATTCATATAAATAAACTGCAATTATAATTTCTATTATAATTTTCTTTAAATATTTAACTAGTTCTATAATATATTTTTTATTATAATTTATTATAAAAAATCAATTAATATTTTTCCCGATANTTATAATTAAGAATTCGAAATACGATTATATTTTATATAAATTTACGTGAAATCAAAATAATGCGTTATAAATAATTTAAGAAGTAATCGCACAGATTATATTAAGAAACAAAAGGATTTGTTTTAATATTTCGTCGTTCTGATATTTCGATATCGATATTCGATAGAAATACGAAATTGATAAATCAGCCCAGTGAAGCATCCGAACACTTCTGGTATCTCAAATTGAGCGCAAAACTTTCATTCTTCTTTAAATTTCATTTTAGTCAAATCGCGTTTAATATTATAGTTGTTTCTCCTTCAACAAATGTCAAAAAATGATAGATTATTTATCATGCAAAAAGAATTTATTTTTAAATAGCAAAAAAATATGAATTGTAAAAAATATTTGGAATTGAACATTTTATTCAATATTTTCATCAAATATTTCATTAAATCTGTTTTTAATATTTACGAAGATTCTTATTTCTTCTATTTATTATATTAAGATCACTATATATCAGTATTTCCCAACGTTTCTTTGAAATATAATCTTCTTTTATAATAATTATCTTTATTCTTTTATAATAATTATCTGCAATTTCTTTTTTTTTTTTTACAATTACATAAAAATCCATTTTTGACAGGAAAAAATAAATATAATATTTTATTTTTAGGGGCGAATCACACACATCACATACAAGGTCCGGTAAGAATATATTTTGAAATATTAATCGTAATAAAGTGGTAGCAAATATAAATGCTTATATGATTAATTTTTATATAATTAATTTTTAATATTTTTTAATGCTTGCTACGATCTATTACAACATAATTTATTGTATTCATGCAAAGATATGTTACAACAAATAAATGCTGAAAATTTTCATTAAAATTAGATATATAATTACCATATATAGTTAATTGGAGTAAATAAAAATTATTATAGCTTTGAATGTTTAGCTATTTAGAGAAAATATTATATATATATATTCGAAAATTTAATTTTCTCATTCTAATAAGAATATATTATATATTATAAATATATTAGAGTGTGTCATAAATTTCTTTCGCATCACGCTAGGAATGATTTAATTGGTTATTTTTATATGAACATGTAGGCTTATCTATTATAATAATATAATATTAGTTTATAATATCAGTTTCAGTCGTAAAACTCTTTTAAAATACGTTTCGTTAGTGACACAATCTCTTTTAAAACTTTTTTCTACATCAAAAGAATTAAGGAATATGTTCAATGGATAGCCAAAGGAAGCATTTGCGGCATATTATGCTTTATTGCTTTAAAAAAGGTGATAGTGCAAATGATACTACAGACGAGATTTATACTGTTTACGGGATTGGTACTACTACAATTACTATATCAGTAATTAGTTTAAGAGATTTAGAGCTGGCAATTTTGACTCGAAAGATGTCAAGGCTGCAGCGGCCACCCAATAACGACGAATACAAACTTTATCAAGGCCATGCTCACTGAAAATTCGCAATATAGTATGCACAGGATAGTGAATGCCACTAACATTCCTAAAATAGTACATAATCCCCAGAAATTGATGATGATCAGGATGGGATATGTCAATAGATGTAAAATTTGAATTCCACAGCTATTGAGAGCGATTTTAAGAACGCGTCTCCACGTATTCTTTCTTCAATGACAAGAAAGAGAATCTTTTTTAAAGAGTTATTAGAGATAAGATTTGGATTTCGTATCAAAATGTGCATCGAAAACGCATTTGATTTAAGGATAATATACCTTCAACTGTCGCGAAGTCTGGACTTCACTCGAAAAAAGTCGTTGCTTTATCCACTTGGTAGGATTGGAAAGGTGTAGTCTATGAGCTTTTTTAAAATGAAACTATCAATTCTGCAAAATATTGCAATCAGCTTGATAAATTGAAAGACGCCATAGCAGAACGGCCAAAATTGGCGAACTGATGAGACCACCACGATAATGCAAAACCGCATGTTGCATTGACTATAAAAGAAAAGTTGTTACAATTTGATTAGATGTTCTACCGCATCTTCTGTACTCCCCAGATCTTGCTCTATCCGACTATTACTTATTCCTGTTATTAAAAAATTCTCTCTATGAAACGGTTCCAATCCATAAGCAAAATAAAAACGCATCGAGGAATATTTTGCAAATAAATCTCAACAATTTTGGAAAAAGAAAATAATGAAAGATAAAAAAAGATGATAGAACAGAACGGTTTACATATAACGCAATAAGTCAATCTTAAACAACAAATATTGTATATTCATTTTGTATCAAAAAAAAAAAAAGAAAGAATAGGACACTCTAATATATAAAAAATATATAGATGAATAAATTCTTTATAATCAAATATAAAATGTCTTTCAAATTTCTTTTCCAAAATAAATTTTTCTTCTTATCTTTCTTATATCTTTTATATTTCTTTCATATTTCCTAAATCTAAGTTTTGAATCAATCTAATAATATAAAAAAATAAAATAAGATTAAATCAAAAATTAAAATTGATTATAAGTTATGCTATAAAATACATTTATCCCATAAAACAATTGTCTTGAATATAATATAATAACGATTTGTCTCATAACTCAATAAATGTTTAATTCAGTGACTTGATCTAATTTTAACAACATTGTTCTAGTTTTTTTTTAAGTTTTATTAAATTACAATACTTTAATCGAAAAAACAATATATATTTTTATTCACTTGGTTTTGAGTTACACTTTCTACAAATCCTACAAATCCTACAAATCCTACAAATATTTCTATTGTAGGATATCTTTTAGGATTTATAACTCGAATTAATTATATTCCATTAATGATTTTTATATTTTATATTTCAACGCAATTTTTCTCTTTTTCATTTTCTTGCTTAAGATATCAACAATTTTGCTAAAATTATACAAAATATTTAAAATTATGCAACAACATATACAACATATACAATATCAAACATTTACAATTTTCCCTTATTTCTTAAAAATAAATAGAAGATACTATCGTAAATTTATCCGATTAAAATCTTGTTTTTGTGACGAAATAAAGCTTCAAAAAAAAAAAATATCAATATTTTCAAGATAGAAACCACTACTAGATAATTACCAAATTTTCTCGAATTACGAATATTTTTTTATTCACTTTACTTGCAAAGCATAAATAATTCTGCATGTATAACTTACGAAAATGGCTTGCATTATCACAGATGAAATGCAAAAGAAAAAAAAAAACCAGACTATTTTCATCCAACTTCTCGAAAAAGAAGAACGATGAACAAGAAATGCAAGATCGCTATTCGAGAATTAATGCCGACCTTAAATTACAATAATATGAAACTCTTTTCCCGCTCGAGACTCAATACAGAATTTTATTCCTATCCCTTGCCGAGTGAACGTTTATTTTCCGCTTTTATTTCTACGTAATGCCGCCACCATCAATTTACTTTTACTCCCAGCCACTCGCCACTCCGCTTGTCCCACGGCGATTGTCACTTCTACTTATAATACTTTCCGATCCTATTACCTCTGTTATGAGACAAATAGGTCAAGCTTGCTTCCTCCAAAGATCCCACGGCTCGACTTCAGGCTTATCTTTGGAACCGGAATTCCTTCTTTCTATCCTTTTGTCGCGTAGTTTACCTCAATGCCTGCCTCTCCTCTTCAACTAAAAAGTGTCGTACCTCTTATTTCATTATCTCGCCTCCTAACTTCCCCTTTCTTCTTCTTCTTTCCACTATCTCGTTGTTGTCGTTTGACTCGTTTGTTTCCTTTCTACTTGTGCATTTTTGACGTGGTGCGGAAAAGAGGTTTAAAGTCTGGAGAAGGAGAAGTTGAACAACATCGAGCTAATTATTGTAATTTCATGCCTTTGGGATACGATCTCGCACCGGCCGGCTCTAATTGGACTTGGGCTCCGACTTGTCGACAGCAGCTTTTGAGCGGGAATTTTACGCGACAGCGCAACTCAAGATTTATTCCACCATTTTTTTTTCTTTTTTTTGTTTCAAAGATGCGAATCTGATAATTATCGTGAAAATGAAGTGACGTTTCTTTTACCGTGTGTCTCGAATGTGACAGAATTTTTCTTTTTCAATCGTGAAAAAATATTTTATATGTAATTTGAATAATATTAAATGATCAATATCATATATCAGTTTTTTTAAATATTACATACTTTTTGAATTATTGCATCGCGCAGTTCATGAAAAAATACATTTAGATATTTATTATAATATGATCTTCAAATAATCTTAAATCCTAAATAAATTCGGAGAATCATGTTTAAATGAGATACCCATCTTTGTTTATAGAAAAAAATCGAAAGACATCATATATATATCAACAAAATGATTTATAAATTTTATGAGACAATTAATATTGGATGATAAAAAAAAAGGAGAGAATATAAATGATTTAATTTTGTGTTAAAGATACATGATTGAGTGATATGGAAACGGTTAAATTTTAAAGAATACAATAAAAAAAATATTATATTCAATAATAAAAAAATTGAAGATATGTTATAATATAATCTAATTTATTATATTCTTCCTATATATGAAATTTTTTCTTGAAATGAATTTTTTTGTAATATGCAACTAAAAAAGAATGTTTTAGCAGTCATCATCTAATTTGGCTGTTATCAAAATTTTGTCACGTAACTATTTTTTGAAGATGTCAAATACATAAACTAACAACGAAAGATCCACTTAAAATGCTGAAGAATGATTTTTTAATTAAAATTAAAATTTTTTAATTTGTAATTTGTTTTTAATTTTTATGAAAATATATATATTATAAAGTAAAAATATCTAAAATAGCCTAACGAAAATTGAATCGTTGCCAATTGAAAGATAATCCATATTCCATTCTAACTGATCTTGATAAAATGAAATTATTACATTTTCTATAGAATAGATAGAAATTCAAGAAACATAAGATATGCAAAAATTGGAAATTATTGGAAAATTTTCGAAAAAATTGTTTCTAGCATCTCAGTTTTTTCGTCAACTCAAAAAATATTGATTAATTCATTTAAAAATATTTTATTTCAATATATAAAAACTTGCAAAACACATGATATATTATATTAAATACATAATATAAGATATGTTATATTTTTTTTATATTATATTAGAATAAATCTTTATTTAAATTTATTTTTTTAGTTATGTTTAGTTATTTTTCATAAAAATTTGATTTTATGAATAATTGAATTTTTATTATTTAAATTATCAAACATAACTTTATTTATATGAACGATATAATCAAAAATATATGTATTATATGATACCTATGATACAAAATAAAAAAATTAAATTCATCAAGCATTTAATTCATTTACAGTTATTATATTTACAGTTATTATATTTGCAAAATAGAAAATTTCTAAATTTATAATATTTAATATATTATTATATATTTTAAAGAAAATTTTCCATAAAATTCTTTTATATGAATGTGAATTTCTATTAATTGGATGAAAAATCATAGCCAGTGGAGGAATTAGGTGAAATCCTATTATATAAATAATTTGGTTACATGAACATGCTCATCTCTCGACAAATTCATATAAATGGAGTTTCATACCAATGATAGTTGAAACTGCTCTCGATCCTGAATATCATCAGAAGATTTAGTTAATACTATACTAATACTACTACTCATAAATAGTCTAACGCAACCTCGTGTTATC